TGTCATGAACAGAAGGTTTTGACTTAATGATTAATTATGTGTATCTGATGTCCACTCTGGGTCCACCCTGACTACCCTCCAAACCCCCTCCCAGAAAAAATACCAGCACTAGAAATGCTTAAATAAGATGATTCTCTCCCCTCTTTCATCTTAGTGATTAAAATGTATATAAAAATGCACATAACATACATGAAATGATAATTGTGGGCAGCTGGTGCACATGAGCTTTGGACTTGTTGTTGGATGGTTTAACTATAGGTCCCAGCACTGTCATGTCATTGTTCTGTGACTTTGAACAAGGAACGCAATAGGTCCAGCCTTTTAGTTCCCAAATCTGAAGAAAGGAAATTAGGTTAGCTCAGTGATTCTCAACTCTGGCTAGACATGAGAGTCACTCGGGGAGGTTAAAAATACTGCTGCCTGCGCCCCACCCTCAACCCATTGGGTCAGAATCTGTGGGAAGTGGGGTGTAGACTTGGGTATTTTAAACTCTCCCCAGGTGATTGTAGGTACAGAGAAGACAGAAACCCCGGATTGGGTGCTAGTTAAGGTCCCTTTGAGCTTTAAGAAACATGTTGAAAGCAGAGGAAAATGATGCATACAAAGATGGTCAAAGAAATTAGTTGTTTAGAAACAGAAACAAACCAGTATGTGTGGTGTTGGGTGGCTTCAGGTCTTTGCTAAGTTTCCTCTGTGAGTGTTGGCTTATCAGGGACAGTGCCACCTCAACTTTCGTTCCTGAGCTTAATGTTTCGTCTTAATAGAAGACAGCCTGAATATACAAAGGGTAGATTTGCAAGTCTTTCTAGAATTAGGGGAATGGGAACAGAAACACACATTTGTCAGGTGCCTTATTTACAGAAAGGACAATGGAAGCCGAGAGAGTCATTAAGTCATTTGCTGGAGGCCACAGTCACCGAGTGGAATAGTCAGGATTTGAACCTGGGTCTGTCCCACCCAACAACTTGCGCTTTGCCTTTTAGATCAGACTGCTTGCTAACTGGCAAAATCTTTACCTTGTAACTTGGGTTTTCATATTAGTAGTTGTTTTCATGTTAGTGATAACCTTTTATGGAAATACTATTTTGTAGAAATACTTAGTAACCAAGACCAACAAATTTGCACATATTTGGAGGAGAAGCTGCATATCTATGCTGAACTTGGAGAACTGAGTGGCTTTGAGGATGTCCATCTAGAGCCCCACCTCCTCATTAAACCTGACCCAGGAGAACCTCCCCAGGCAGCCTCACTCCTGGCAGCAGCACTGAAAGAAGGTCAGTGGCTTTGGAAAGGATTTGGTTTGATAAATCCAGATGTTTATTGAGCACCTACTAGTGCCATGCCCTGTGGTCTTGGTGCTGAGGATACAGGAGAACTTATATGCTGGAAACAGCAAAATATCAAGAAATATGTCAGGTTGTATTAAGTGCTATGAAGAAAAATAAGCTGAGTAAGGGGGATAGAGAGTGACGGGGTTGGGACAGTTCTGTTTTAGATAGGCGAGGCCTCCTTGATATTATGCTGTGTAAGCAGACAGGAAGGAAGTGAGAATGCCAAGTGGTATCTGGGGGAAGAGTGCTCCAGACATAGGAAGAGCAGGTGCAAAGGTCCTGAGGCAGATGAGTGCCAGGCTTGTTTGAGGAGCAGCAGTAGAGTGAGGTGTGAGGGTTCGGGGTGGGGAATGGCAGGAGATGAGTCAAGAGTTAACTAGGTCTCAGGTTACATGGATCAAGGTAAGGACTTTAAATTTCTTTCTGGGTGAGATGGGAAGGTATTATAGAGTTTTGAAGTATTATAGAGTGGAGAAGGGGCATGATTTATGTTTGAAAATGGACCCCGTGACTGCTCTGTGGAGAATAGTCTGTAAAGGGGTAAAATGCTGACACTGGTAATATTGAAGTCTAGGGCACAACAACGGGAACTGCTGGCTGAGGTAGGGTGGAGGACAGGCTCGTTGGAGATGAGAGCGTCAAGATGAGAGGCCAGGGTATAGAAGGACTAAGTTCACAGAATTGAGATAACTGAGAATTTTGACAGGATTAGCATTGGAGGGAGGGGGGAACATGTGCCAGGTGCTAAATTGTTCAAGGACAGCAGGCGAGTGTTCGGGGTCTATAGAGGATTGGCAGTGGGCAGGGGAGAGGGACATCGTGAGTGGTCTGATCTGATGGCAGGAGCCTCAAGGGGGAAAGGAGTTTAAGGGAGAGATGAGGGTACTGGCCTGGAAGTGACAAGAGGCACAGAGGTTTTGGCAGGTAAGACAGTCACCACCTGAGAGAGTGACAGGGAATGCAGTTGTTTGGAAGAAGGGTTGGTAAATTGCAGGCCAGGGGCTGAATGCTTCCCACTGCCTGTTTTTGTAAATACAGTTTTATTGGAACCCACACCCTCCTGTTTATGTGTTGTCCGTGGCTGCTTTGTCCTACAGTGGCAGAAATGAACAGTTTTGACAGAGACTGTAGAGCCCACAAAACCTAAAATTTTAAGTGTTTCCTTGCAGAAAATGTTTGTCAAACTCTGGTTTAGAATCTCAGAATATTAGCCTGGAAGAGAATTGAGAAATCATGATTTCTGTCATCTTTATTTGACAGTTGGGGACACTGAGGTCTTGAGAAGGGCATAGAGGTGGTCTGAAATGGGGCCCACTGATAGAATCAATCGTCCACCCATCCATTCATCCATCAAATATTCATTGAGCATCCACCCTGTGCACTGATGCTGATGCTGAGGAAACAGGAATGCTTTCATAAAACTTCTAGTGGGGGGAGACAGACAATAGCCAAGGAATCATAACTTCACAGAGTCACATGAAAATAAGACTGCGGGAGTGGGATGAGGTGAAGGCATTGCTTTTGAGAGGTCAGGGAATACCTCTCCAAGGAAGTTAGTTTTTATTTTATTTTTTAAAGATGACCGGTAAGGGGATCTTAACCCTTGACTTGGTGTTGTCAGCACCACGCTCAGCCAGTGAGCAAACCGGCCATCCCTATATAGGATCCGAACCCGTGGCCTTGGTGTTATCAGCACCACACTCTCCCGAGTGAGCCACGGGCCGGCCCTGGAAGTTATTTTTTAGATGAGGATTGAGAGTTTAGAAGCCAGCTGTCTAGAGATCTGGGGGAGGACCATTCCTGCACAGAGAGAAAGTAAGCACAGAGCCCCTGAGGCTGGGATGCGCGTGGCATGTTCAAGGAAGGAAGAAAGTCCAGGTGGCCGAAGTCAGGGGAGACTGCTGTGACATGAGGTGGTGCGGGCTGGGTGGATGGGGATCAAGTCATTGTAGGCAGTGGTTTAAAAAAAAAAAATTATTCCAAATGTGATGGAATTGGAAACTTTTAGTCATGGCTGTGATATGATCTCATTTGTGCCTTAAAAAAATGCTGCTGCTGAAGGCAGAACAGATTGGGAGGAGACAAGTCTGCCTGCAGATCTGTAGGAAGCACTTGCAGAAGCCGAGATGTGGTGCCCAGGTCTAGACCAGGGCTGTTAGCAATGAAAGTAGAGAGAAGTGGATAGATTCAAGATATATTTTTAGAAATAAAGCCAAAAGGAATCTCAAGTGGGTTGACAAGAACCAGTGACCCCTCATTATCTTTGATAATACCTTTTTTGAATAAGTCATCCACTCTCAATTTCAGCCAGTGGCTTTATCTTGCTCCCTCACCAACACTGTCACAATTCCTGGTTTAAGTCCATCTGCTTCAATTCCTTTGGTTCACCATTGGGTAGAGGTGCTGGAGCAGCAGTGGACCCGGCTGCTCAAGAGAACCAGAGCTGTAGAGGCAGCGCGTGAGCACAGGTTGGGTCACCCACCCCTAAGTCGTTGATCATCAACACCTGGACTGCAGTTGAGCTTGTCAGGGTGAGGTTTATCTTCTGTAAAACAAAAATGAAACACTTTAGTAGTGCACTTTGAGTAGTTCTCCCTAGGTCTTTGCCTGCTGGAGTTGTGGTTTTCCTCTCCTTTCTCCTCTTCTGTCTCTGCCTCTTGAATTCCATCCATCCTTCCAGGTCCTGCTCAGGTTTCATCTCCTTTATGAACTTTTTCTTAATCCCACTAGCTAATATTAGAGCATATAATGCTCTAGTGACTGGATGATAGCACTTAGAGCTGACCACATGCTACCTTGTAGTATACTTAGCTGGACATGTCTCTTTCCTCCTCCAATCTGTGAACTCCCCTTATGAGTTAGCAAGTGCCCAATAGCCCCTAGAATAGACTAATTAAATCATTGGCCAGGGTGTTCTAGAAATACTTGCAGGGTCCTCAAAACTATACTATTCCACATGCTAGTTGAAAACTTTTTATTTTAAACAAAAACTTTGCCTTCTTGGTGTGGTGTTTCCTAAGCTTACCTAAGCTTGGGTACCTAAGAGTAGCCTTTGGTGCTTGTTTAAAATGCATATCCCATTTTCTCCTCTAGAGAATCTAATCTAGTAGGTCTACAGAGAAGATTGGGAATCAATTTTTAAAGGCAAGTTTGGGCAAATACTCTTTTGAAGAATAGCTAATCTTTCTTTCGTTAGCTCCCACATATAGGTGAGAACATGTGGTGCTTCTCTTTCTGTGCCTGGCTTATTTCACTTAATTTTCTCTGAGTTCATCCATGTTGCTACAAATGGTAGTATTTCATTCTTTTTTATAGCAGAGTAGTATTCCATTGTGTAAATATACCACATTTTCCTTATTCGCTAGTCTGATGATGGGCATTTAGGCTGGTTCCAACTCTTGGCTACTAACATTTCTGAGTAACAGGTTTTGAAGTCCTAATGCCTGATACTGTATTTAAATTAATTCAATTACAAGCAGTTTTTCAGCATATTAATTTACTGAAAGTTGCATTTGAGATATATTTATACAATGGGTTTATTCTTTTCTATCGAATTAATTCTCTGTCATAAAATGATGCTAAAAGTATTAGTTTAGATTGCAGGTCTGCAAACTTTTTCTGTAAAGGGCCAGGTAGTAAATATTTTAAGCTTTCCAAGACACAGTCTCGGGTGTGTGTGTGTGTGTGTGTGTGTGTGTCTGTGTGTGTGTGTGTGTGTGTCTGTGTGTATAAACTTTACACATGTGTCGTTTTTAAATTTTATTTTTGCTTTTCTACTCCTTAGCTGAGAGTCTACAAGTTGCAGTGAAGGCCTCACAGCTGAGCGATGTAAGTCAGTCACCCGAGGAAGGTTGTGGAGAATCTGTCTTGACCGACACGCTCACTTCTCCTGACATACCAGGATCGCCTCCTGCTTGTAAGTGAAAACGCAGGCCCGTCGAGCTTAGAGTGTTCACATAGAGTGAAGGTCATGTAGAATAAAGGCAACGGCTCTGTCCCTATTTGGAGGGGACTGAATGTATTTTTTAAAGTTAGAACAATGCTGAGAATAAATATACTAGCTATAAATAAAATATAAATAAAATAACAGCACTGGTGTTCCAAGGACAAGGAGATAAAGACTGGTGGGTGGGTTACACTGCTCTGTTTCCCAGCCAAGCACTGTACCTTCCCCGAACCCTACCTACCCTGCTTCATTTTTGATATGACTTATTGAATAGAGTTTTGAAAGAACTTTTTGACTGTTTGTTTTTTTAAAAAAATAGTCCCTGCAGTTCATTAGGGAGCAAGCCTTTAAATTTAATATCATGTGCATCATTTGAGAAAACGTAACTCTGAAAACTAGAATCTCTCTCACAAATGCGCGTGCACGCCCAAGGTTTGGTGGTTTGGTTTAACCTTTAAGGCAGAAGTGCCAAAAGATTCTTGATCTGTGCCATGATATACTTTAGGTCAGAATTTATTATTTAAAACAGTGGTTTAACATCTTTTAAATATAGAAAAATAGAATGTGGAGAATTGGTTTAGATAATTTCTGAGAACCTAATTATAGTGTTATATGTATAGTTGTAAGCTAAAGACTTAGTTCCATAAAGGTATGCTTTTCATGTATGGTGGTAAGAACCTTACTTCCACAAGGTTTTATATGCGGAAGATAAAGTGTCTTTAGTAGTTAGAGATTGGAGGAGTAAATTATTTTAGAACTTCTTTAAAAACATCCCTTGGTTAATAAAGATATAGAAGGAGCATAGTTTTTTTAATTCTATACATTTTTTTAACAGCACCAATAATTATTTTCCCATTTCAAGTTGTGCTTTATTTAATCCTGGGTTTCTATTTTCAGAATGTGCACGTATGTTTTTCATTTTGACACAGCCTAGATTCATCAGGGGAGTTGTACTGCCCTGGGTGATTTCCTTTTAAAAGAAGAACCTCATTATGCCATTGAGGAAGTTCTATCTAAAAATACATGTAAGGATCTGCTGCGCTCAGCCTCACCCTGGGGACAGCTGGAGAGGCTCCGCTCCTGCAGCTGCTCGGAGCACGTGCCTCCCTGCAGGCCAGGCAGTGAATGTTGTCCCTGTCTGTATCCACATCTTCCGTGACTGGGGAGAGCTCCAAAGGGACACCCATGACATTTGCTTAGACCATTGGGAGGCTCTTTATGGAGTGGTCCGATGTTAAGATCGAGTAGAGGAGGTGCAGGGGCAGGTGGGTGGGGTCCGGTATCCCAGAGGCCTATTCTGTTCTGGGTTGGATAGGAACATGGTGCTACAAGAGTTTGATTCTCTTTATAAAGTTGTTAAGGACAAAAGATTACTCCTAAGCGAAGGTCGTAACTGGATGGGTCAGTTCTGTGACTGACTCTGAGGACGGGTCCTGCTGAGTCAGGCTCGCATCAGTCTGAGGTTATAAACCCAGCAGAGCCCTCTGTTTGCAGTCCTCAGCATGTGGAATCAGGTGGGTGAGTATGATCCACTTCCTGTAAAGTTCTGTCCACTGGAGACCCTCTTGCCCACCCTGAAAGTGAATTCGGGGACATGGGACTTGATCTGCGTTCCCCGCTTCCCCCTCTTTTGATCATCCTCATTCCAACAAGGGAGTGGGGGAGAGAAAGAGAGGGGCTAATTCTTTGCTAATGTCTTCGGCATCTCTTTAAGAATTAGGAATAGTGCCTCATAGTGAAACTAGTTTTTGAGTGACAGAGAAATCTCTATAAAATGTCCCTTCGCTGTAAGTGAATCAGTGCTGGTCAGCTTGGACAAAATGAACTTGGCTTTTAGCGGTTATCATTTGAAGCAGTTTCCACTTAAACAAAAACTTTCTTGTATTAGAAGAGGCCTTTGGAATCCTAGAGGACTCTCATTTTCCAAAGACATTAAATATTTTTATTAATTTAAATAAAGGGGGAAAAAGCATTTTCTTTATTAGAAATAAAGTTTCAAGATGACACTGAATAAAAAATGTTATAAATGGTGTCACACAATGAATATCTATTTCATCAGGTCCTGATTAAACTTGGTTCCAGTGAAATACTATGTGTGAAAGGGCTTTAGAAAGTCTAGTTTTAATTAGTGCAAGGTGAGCATAGTATGTTTTAACTGAGTTCATATGGATAAAGAAAGAAAATCCTGCCAATGGAGATTTAATGGATTAAGTGAAACCTGTATTTGGTACTTACAAATACTTCTGGACTAGTTTCTGTGTTTTCATAAGTTAAATATACAGTATTTATAGTATTTGTGAATTCAAAGCATAAGCAAGAAATGTGAGGGGGGGAAATTTGGAAATTGTTGCATAAATAAGTTGTTCAGAGATAGGGACAGATTCTCTGTTTGTATGACCATGAGACCAGAAGGTATAGCGCCATCAGCCTTCTTAGAACGGCGTCGCCCTCCTGCCCTTGACGACTCCTTCGAAACCTGGTTTATCGTTGCTGCTCTTGCACTGACCACCAGGGAGCCTTTTTACAGACTTGGGTCTGCCAGGAGACCTTGATTTCGTTCTCCAGCACCTGTTTTAAATTTCACTGTCCCCAAGAGGTTTTTTTCCTATTAAGTGAAAGATGTAGAATCTCCCCTCTATATCACAAACAACCCATGAACAAGTCAGTGCAAGAAAGAAGTAAAAATAAAAAGACGGGTGATCGTTCATGCTGTCTGTCGGTTTGGTGTCCGCTAGCGTGTAAGCTCCATGCGGGCAGGGACCGTACATTCTGCTGTTTGCTATTTTACCACCTCATATAAGAGTATTTGATGTGCATTACTTTGTGATGTTTCTTATTTTGAAATATGCATCAGCTGTGTAGAGAAGAACCCAGTCAGCTGGCTGATGTTTGATGTTGTTCTCTCTGTTTCTGTCTCAACGGTGTGCTTCCAGCACTAGTCACAGAAGGGACAGAAAGAAGAGGCTGTTGGGATGTGGATCCCGGGATCCAGGGTGTGGTAACCGACATGGCGGTCTCTGATGCGGGGGAGAAGGTATTGTTAACCGATTTGTTAGTAAACAGCACTGGTTACTTTGTATAATAAAATATCCTCAGGTTCTATTGTGTCAATGACAGTCAGTGGAATGAAAGTGCTTTACTAAACTGTTTTCAACTAATTTAAATATTCATATTTAAACTTTTCTAACTATTGCTTCTTCAAATGTTCTTGCTCTTCCTGTGTCATGCAGGTGTAAACAAAGAAGTAATTGAAAAGTTATTAAAAAAGATTGAAAACTCTCGTGTATATGTGTCTGCGCTCTCTGACTTCTGGTCTTTCTCTCTGCCCTGAAAACCTTTGCTTTTCACCAGCTACGTTTGGCAGCTCTTTGGCTGAGTGGTGGTGCTTGTGCAGCCAGATTGTGCTAATGTAGCTGAAAGGAGTTTTACTTTGGAATATTAATACTGCTTTCACGTTCCTTGACTTTTCTCTCTTTTCAAGTTATTTTCCTGTCACCACCACCCACATTTCACCTACGTTTTTGTGGTAGCTTTTTAATTAACCTGACCAATTTTTGTCTGGGGTGAAGTGGTTCCAAATGCTGCTTTTTTGTTGTTTTTAAACTTACTATATACGTAAGTTATAACTCTCTAAGTTAAATGCATAGAATTTCTGACTAACTTCAAACCAAATTAGATGTCAGACATAGGGAAGGAATAAAATAGGATTCTGGGAGATGGCTAGTCAGCCTCCTTGGAATTGTCAGGGAGCTCAAGATTTTAACATTATCTAAAATAGAATTAAGCACGTTACCAAGTGCCAGTATGTGTCAATGTGGAAAAATGACATATGTCAGATCTTCTCTTAAATATGTAACATATTTGATATATTTTTGTATATATTACATATGACTGAGAAACCAAGTCCAAAGATTTTTTTAAATCCGTAAAAACAGCTGTGATTTAGTGTTCTTTTTAAAACTTCAGAGCCTAAATGAATACAGGAATGCAATATTTTATTCCACTCATTCCAGTTGTAAACTTTCAAAATTATTTCTTAAAGTGTTTCTGCTTTTTGTCCTTTTCAGTGCAGATTTCATTTTTAAGTCTGACATTTGTAACTTTCAACTGCTTTTATGTTGTTAGAAAAGAAAGAAAGAAAGGTTTGGTCAATCGTAGTTTAATCTTGAATGGTAAAGCTGTGGTGGTTCCCACCCCTGAAGTCTTTCCCTTCCATGATTCAGTCACAGATGGATAAGTGAGATTAGGCGTGCAGGTTCCTCTTTGGATTAACCTATCTGGAAAATTTTACTCTTAATAAGACATTTTGAGAGCTAAATGAACTAAGGTACAGGGTAGTATCACTTGAAATCAAACTTTAAAAAAATGTATAATGGGTATTTTGTCATTAGCTTCCCTAATAAGATAAGGCTAGAACAAATTTCTGGAAGAATTAAAAAAATTTGAGTCTGTAACCCAAATGGCAGAAATGCTGTGTAAATCACCAACTGCAGTTATGCACCTTCACCACAAGGTGGCAGACCAACTCCATTAAAGAGATGGTGTGAAATTTCCTGCCCTATTAAACCTAGTGGTTCTGGGGTATGAATAACCACATGTAGCACAATCCAACTCATTTCTGTTTCTAATTTTTATAGAGTATAAAAATTTATACCATATGGTCTTATTACAAAATCAGTGGAGTGTGAATGGGCAAGGGCAGAACCCAAGAGCAGTGAGAACTCAACACTCACTATAGAACAGGGGTTCTCAGCCTGTTAGCTTGCATAGGGTTGGACACAGATCTAATGCCTCAAAACTTCATCTCCTTTTTTAGCCTCTGTCCTTTCTCAATCAGAGGTGCTTTTTAGTAATGAAGTTTTTAATTGGTAGTACAGGCGAAAAGGAGATCTAGCTACCTCATCGTAGCATCATCAGCCTGAACTAATTGAATTTGGTAAAAAGTTCAACGTTATCTGAGAACATTGCCATGGCTGACTGTTTTTTACAGCTTAAAATTAGATCTGCTCAGACAGAGGCAAGCAACATACAGGAGATTGTAGACTCATGGAGGATAGGGAATTTGATGATCTCTCATAGCATAAAGTGTGGAGTTTATAGGGTGATCAATATTTGTTTATTGAATGGAGTGCGATGAAATTCAACTTATAGTTCATTTGTTGAGTGTCCATTACATGCCAGGCATAATTCTTAGGTTTGCAGATAGAGTATTGAATACAGATGAAGGCCTGCTACTAACAGGCTTGCATCCTAGGGAAGGAAGGCAGACAGTAAATGAGTAAACAAATTTAGTTTGATTTCAGAAACTGGAAACCCTAACTATCCACATGTGCCCTTACTGTGTGCTGTGGGAGAGACAAAGAATGAGGTATAGCCTCTGTGCCCAAGGAGCAGATGGTCTACTGTGGCCTCATTCATGGCCTTTGTTCATGATGCTTCTACTAAGGTAGTCACTGGTCCAGTGAACACGATTGTGGTCATATCTGGAGCAGGTCAGCTACGTGCTCCCCTTTGGGCTGTCTCTGGGTCTGGTTTCTTTTCTCAGCCACTGGCTATTTTTACATGATGAATCTCAAACATGGAGACAGGGCGTTAGGGGCCAGGCATGATGTTCTCTAACTTCTAAATCCAGCCTCCAGGATGCGAGGAGTCAGCCTGGCCTGGGAGGGAAGTTCAGCAGGGGCACAGAAAGCTCAGTTTATACTGTGGCTTGCACAAGGTAAACACTGTCACTTAGGGTTTGCAGGGCTTCCTTACTGTCATCCCTTATTGTTTTAAGGGATGGTTGAATAAAAATTGCCATGCATCTCGAACACTGAGTTTGCATGAAGGGGACTCTTGTCTAGTGGTTAATTTTATAGGCTTCTATTTCCGGGAGGAAACTAAGTAACTATAGATGAGGCAATCAAGTTTAGAAGGAGTGAGGTGATTTACCCATTTTGGAACACTGTAGTGCAGCTTTCCAAAAGTAGAGTGGTTGTTCATTTTCTTATGTTTTTTATGTATTTTAGGTGGAATATGGAAGTTTTCCAGGTTCTTCACAGTCAGAGGTGAGCTTCAGTATATTGCCAGCCTCTCTATTTGTGGCTAATGAAAGCCTTTTCAAGAATTTGACACTTAACGGTCTTATTTTTCAGATTATACAAGCAATACAGAATTTAACCCGCCTCTTATATAGCCTTCAGGTAACTACCCTCCTCTAATCTTTGACCTTGTGAATGTTTCTCTTAATACGATTCACTATTCACTTTGACGATTCCCAGACTTGAAAAATTAGAACTTTTGAGAGGTAGTGAATGATCTTAAAAGAATGCCAACCCCTTAAGTGTAATGTGTTGAACTTCACCTGGTTTTGTAATCATGAGCAGCACCACTACATTTTATACCATTCTTCTCTGAAGCCATAAAACAGTTCATATCTTTAAAAAATATTGATGAATGTGATCTGGCTTGATGTACACAATGAAACTCTTAGGTGAGTGTAGCATGACTTCACATTTTCTGGTGAAAACTTAAATTCACACCTAAACATCTTTCAACTTCCACATGTGGCCTGAGGCCTTTAGAGCAGTTAAATAATCCATTTGCCTTGTCATTCTTTTGTTTGTTCAACTGTTCAGCATTTACTGGGTGTCCTCTCTGTGCTGGGCACTGTACTGAGGGCTAAGACACTAAGGCAAATGGGCCACAAAGCCCACCCTTAATTGGCTTACTGTCTTTCAAGGAAAAACAGGCATAAAAGTCATGCTTGTGTTTAGGAAAAGAGGGCTGTATGATCCCATAGGCCATACACAAAAAAGAGGCTCAGTGCATCCAATTGCTTAATTTACTGACTTAAAATATTTTTAAATGTTATGAAAACAATGTTGGTATTATTGAAAATTTTGTAAAACTTTGAGAATTTACTTGAATTATTACTATTATCATGTTAGTGTATATCTCTGCAGATTTTAGAATCGTTTTCTATATAATCTTCTGCAACATGTACCTTTCTGTGTCACCAACTGTTATTTAACAGTAGTTTTTAATGACTGTATAATATTGAAATCTATGGAATTTATCCAATCCCTTATTGTTTACACTTTTGTATTATTAACAGCACTGTAGTGGACATCCTTGTACACTAATCTCTTTGAACATATCTGAGTGTTTTCTTAGGATAAATTAGTAGAATTCTTTTAAGGTTTTTAGTAGACATTGCCAAAATAACCAAATCAACCCTCTCCATCTCCTCAATTTGAAAATGGATCAAAGTGTCTGATTATTTTAATTTTCACTTCTTTGATTACTGGTGAGACTAAACTTTTTCACCCCCACTGGTTTATTTTCCATTCATACTTCATATCTTATACTTGTTGAATGTTAAAATAAAATTAAATCTTTTTTCACCAGAAAATGTAAAGTCATGCTATATTTGATGTTTTCTTATTTATACTTCGACTGTATCTTATGTTCTCTTAATCATCTGCCTATTCTAGTTTCAGTACCACATCTTAATTTTTAAACCTTTGAATTGCTTTTAATATGTCAGTTGTCCTCAAACTGGATTACCTTTGAGTATATGTAGTGCTAGTCTCCTCTTATTATTTTTCTATGTTTATTTATATATTCTTTCACAAGAGCTTTTGAATCAATCTGTCAAGTTTATTACCTCCTACTAAGACCATTAAATTAAAATTTCATTATGTTTATGAATTAAATTGGAAAGAATTGGCACATGCCATAATCAGTCTTCTTGTCTACGAACGTGGTTTGGACATCTCTTATTTCATGTTCTGCTGTAAAGCTTTGTAATTTTCTTGATATAGGTACTTTGTATATATATATATATGTAATATATATATATATATTTTTTCATTTTTACTAAGTTTATTTCTATGTCTCTCTGTTGCTATTATGAGTAGCATATTTTTTCATTATCTTTCCTCAGTGGTTGTTGCTGATATAAATAAAGGCGTTGATTTTTATGCTTTTATTTTGTAACTGACCAACTCATTGAACTTTACTTTTTGTTTTAATAGTTTTTCCATTGATTCTTTGGAGTATTCCAGGTAGAAAACAAAAATTTGAAAATAATGGTATTATGGCTATTCTTTAACAGTTATATTGATTTCATTTTCTTGGCTTATTGCTTTGGCTAGAACTTCTAAAAATGTGTTAAATAGTAGTGGTGATAGTAAGCTTCTTGTCTTGTTCAAGATTTAGCGGGAATGCCTTTAGCGTCTTACATTTTGTATGCTGGTCTGGGGTAGATGTTCTTAGAGATCAATTTATCATGCAAAACAAGTATTCTTTCTTTTAAATGTCAGCTGAGAAGGGATATAGTTTGAGTATAGTCCATTAACTCTTGGGGGATGAAAACACTAAGCATCCTGGCTTGTGTTGCCCTGATGAAAATACAAAGTCATGTCTCTTCTTTTCAACTTGATTGCAGCCCTGTGTGGATTCAAGGTTCAGAAAAGCCTGGTTACCAAAATGACCTAATGTGTGTTGCCCTGATGAAAATACAAAGTCATGTCTCTTCTTTTCAACCTGATTGCAGCCCTGTGTGGATTCAAGGTTCAGAAAAGCCTGGTTACCAAAATGACCTAATGTTTGCAACACATTAGGTTGAAGCAGCATGGGAAATATCAAAGTGGATTCTCTTAACATATCCAGTGCTTTTGAGCTGGTCTAAGCATATGGGCTTTGAAAGATTTCTGTTAATGGCACAGACATCTCTTTTGAAGCTGAATCTCTTATGTTTGATTGAAGTTTCTTACATAGTATTTTTGAATCAGATGAAAATGAAATTTGATTCCTATATTAGTAGAATAGAGTTAGAGATGAGGTACAGACAAGGTGAAAAGGAAAGGATGCAGAGATATTCTAGCAAAGTAAAGTTAAGAGGGAGTGAATTGGGAATTTGTCTTAACTTGAAAAGAAAGTGCTGTTCTCTGTCCTAAAAATATAAGTAAACTTTAAGTGTGGACATGAATATCTAATCTTCAAATTCCACCTCTATGCTAGGGAAGAGAATGGTCTTATCTCAAGTGTTAAGTAGACATGAAGAATATAGTTCATGGTAGTGCTTAATTATTCTAATTGTAATCTTTACATGAGGGTTATCATTGCTTATGGTAGTTTGACATATAAAATATTAGATTTTTGTTTGTTTTTACTGTACTGATTCCCTGGTTGATCAGAGTCCTGAGTGGTTTATTCTTATGTGATAATTATTTTATACTTAAAGATCACAGTAATTAGTAACTATTCTCAATGATAATCATTGTTCTCTTTATAATAACTCCTGAAAACCGTTAATCAAATATTCAGGTTAGTCTAAAGATTTTTAAATTAATTTTGAAACTTAAAAATAGGAATTTTATTTCAAAAGGCCCCAGATGTGTTTTTGAGGCATATCCCAAGACAAGTAGGAATTTAGTTCCTTAACTTTCAAAAATACAGGAAACTGCTGATCTAACAAAGAACTAATGGTCAAATCCCCATCTTCCCAACATTTGTTACGTGGACAGTTTTAAAAATTCTTAGGAAGGAAAAATGTGAATTTATCCCTGGGAGAGTAATGATTTCTCATACTGAGTCAAAACATAGACACATACCCAGTATGTATTCATTTTCAATTTGTCCCTTCTGTACTTCTTTGCACTTTAAATGGGAACTTTTAAAATTAAAAGCTTCCAAGGGCATTCACAGAGATTTTTGGGGTTTTGTGGAATCCTTCCAAATCTTGGCAATTATTTCCTGTGTTGCTGCCAAACTTTTCATAGGCAGATACCGTAACTCAAAATGTTTTCTTAATCTGGTTGGTAATGTCCTCTGGGCTTTAGAGTATCTATTTCCCCTTAATCGTTTCAGCCTCCTGTTAGCAATCTATTAAACAAATAAATTTCAGCTTAGTTTTTTACGCATGACCCTCCTGCCATAATATGAAGATATACCAGTAACGAGACCAGCTTTAGCAACTTACATATCTCCTAAAAATGGCATTAACTGTTATTCTTTGGCATTATGTTATAAAAAGATTATTTACCATAAGTCTCCAAATAGTTGACTTTTATTATTATGTCTTCATGAAAGCAGTGCAGCTCAAGTAATTTCTGGTTTGGGATTCAAATAAAGGATACTACTGGGTTTATATAGATTCTTAAATTCTCATGAATGATTGGGGAGACCTCAGAAAGAGAATGAGCTATAGAACAGGAATACGGAGTCTTGTGAATTTAGGTACTGAGTTCTTATTCAGAAGACTTGCATAGATATTATCCACCAACCAGCAACAAACCACATTTCCAAAAGAGGGGATGAGTATTGCTTTTGTACTTTATTTCTTCTCTATATAAATTCCCTAGTCATGCCACTAGGGAATGTAGGCAAGCCTATTTGAAGTGCCAAAGTCTATCTTTGGAGGTAACTTAGAGATAAAGGCAAAATTATTAAAAGAAAATGATGTGGTCATGCATTTTGTGTTCAGAGGCAGTTTCAACCAAAAACGCTGGGTCCTGTCATCAGATACCTCTCCACAAAAGCAGCAAGGATTCTTGTAAAAATGGTAATTAACACTTTAAACATCATCTGTATGGTTTCAACAAGAAGTTGTTTCTCTGAATGGTCGACTCTTCCATAGAGTGAATCAAAGTGAGCCTTAGAATGAGAATAAATTGGTGCTGATGGGCTGGAATTTGTGGTATAAACTTTTCTTTGGGGAGGTCTGGGGACTGACTTTGCTTATAAATATCTAGACACGCAAGAGCATGGTGGTAGGGCTTAGGGAATGTGGCCAACATGTAAGAACCAGATAGGGTTTTCAGGTCTGTGGGTTAAATGATAATGTTCCCTTATAAATATCTAGACACGCAAGAGCATGGTGGTAGGGCTTAGGGAATGCGGCCAACATGTAAGAACCAGATAGGGTTTTCAGGTCTGTGGGTTAAATGATAATGTTCCCTTAAACATGAAGCAACTTGATATTTATTCCCCACTGTAGACTCCACTACATCCTGATGGGCATATCGGTTGACTCTCAGGAATAAAAGATATGGACAGGGTTTGTGGTAGGACTTTATTGTCTATCAGGGCAATTTTGTGGAATGTTAGTGAAATCTTCCGTACTGCCATTAAACACCCAAAATGAAACTGTTAACATCATTTGTCATTATAAAAAAAAAAAAAGGTGTTGTCTCTGCATAAGTACCTCGTAATAATACAACTTGCTAATCCCATGAAAGTATTTGCCAAATATAAATGAAAGGCAGCTCGAGTTACCAACTCCACGTGAATCCAAATGATTTAAATCTCTTGTCTATTAAAAATTGTTTTCTGTGGGATATGAGGTAGGAAATGAGAATTACTTGAAACCTCTCTACTGAAAAACAGATGGTATGCAATAGAATAAACAAATGGCTGGCCACATGGATGTGAAATAAATCACTGACAGCAAAATGTTTCAGAAACATAAAACAAGCCATAGTATAGAGATCTTCAGAACTGGACACAGATTTTTTTCCGTGCTTAATATATATTCTTAGGTTGTCAGATAAGAGGATAATTTTTCTGCAACAAAAAGTTTTGAAGGTGAGATATTTGGCCTCTCCCAATTCAAGGATAATAATTCTGACACTGCCTGCAAGGTGATTTATTATGAGTCCAAAAGATGTTGACTCTCAGTAGTGGCTAATTCTTTACATTTCTTAGTTACTGATGTAATGTTCTTATTTCTTGTCAGCATAGAGGAGAGAATGAAATAGTTCTTAAAAGTGTCATTCAGATTGTTCTTTAAATAAAAAAGAAAAAAATTCTGTAGAATGGTTAGGTTAAAAAAAATATATGATCAAGCAAAATTTAGAAAATGTAACCCCTCTAATGTATTATCTTGCAACTTCAATACTGTAAGATTATTTACAGAATGTTTTTTCTAGGCACATGTTGTTTTGCTCTGTTGATTCATTAATTTGCTACTTACAGTGCTTTATATGTTTTTATCAGTGTGGTTTTGTGTACTGGCTTCGGTGTAATTCAAAAACTCAGCTTGAGTTAAACCACACTCAGCTTTTGTTTAAAAGAAGTATTTCTCTTTCTTTTTGTGTATCTCCCATCTTTTTCTATACACTTGTGCTTCAATGTAGAAAGCCTTTAAACGTTTGGCAGAATGCTTGTAGTGGATAGAAAATGTACGAAGGAAATAAACAGTGATGATATACAAAGCCAGACTGTCCACATGTGAGGAATTAGATAGAGCCAAGGGAAACGCTGAGATAATGTACTTGTGCTTAAGAAATTGTACGTCCAGTGTAGGCCAAGGACGTTAAGGACATTGACAGGAGAGAGGAAAATCAACCTTGGCCTAAATCTCTCGGCAACATCCTGGTGTATATAAGAAGGGATTAGATCAGAAAGGCTGTGTGCACTGTTAACTACTGGAGTTTTGCAACTGGTCGAAAAAACCCTATTTATTCTGTGGACTTAAGCATGATAAGCAATTTCTGGACAAGTGGAAGTCAGAGAATAGGAGGTGATAGGGAAGTGGAATGAAAATGGGGTTTATATTCTTAAGAGGGTGGTCAGGGCCAGATAAAATTGTGCAAACCACTCCAGAGCTTTCACAGCACTTATGATTGCAAGTAGCACAGAATCAGCTGCTGATGGCAGTCTTAGCTAGGCTCTGGGGGTACTCTTTTTCCACACATGCTCTGGGGGGCAGTGACTGAGGGGGGCCAGGCTGGAGGAAGCAGGGTGTTCTGGGCTGGTATTTTTGTTAACTGTGCATTTAACCATGACTTAATTAAGGCGTAGACCACCTTAGTTTTACTGACCTTTAGGCCCTAAAATCAGCTGTTTCAAGTAACACCTTAAAAAAAGGGTTGCTCTTTTGCCTGGTTCAGTGTGTATATGACCAGCTAAGGTCAGCAGAAATGCTAATTTCTGGAACACTAAAGCTGGTGGAAAAAAATACACATAAATAAAAAAAAGCTGGACTGTGTTTAGATGTCACCTAGATTGGAATTTTCATTGGTTCATTTAGTCCAACCTCACCAGATATTTTAATGTGCTATTTGTGCTCTGATTGTGATTTGTTTTTGAATTGCTCCACCACCACCACTGCCACCAGTAATTATATGACACATTAAATTTCAGGCACTGTGTCAAGGTTTTACATTTAGAGACTCATTTAATACAACAACCCACTGAGAAGGTTCTGTTACTATCTCCGTTTGAGAGGGGAAACTGCGATACAGAGAGGTGAAGTGACTTGTCCAAGGTCACACAGCTAGTGAATGGCAGAGCCAGGAATGGAACCTGGGAAGACTGGCTCTGGAGTCCGTGCTCTCGATCATTATACCATAAATTCCTAATTTCCAAAAAGCAGCTTTGAGTTGTACTTTTTAAAGATGTTGGCGTAATGTAGAAATAATCCTTCTGTAATGCTCAGCAGGATGTTCATAATGAAGGGCCAGATTTTTTGTTTGTTTGCTTTTCTTCCTCTCCCTCCCTTTTTAATATTACCATTTGGAAAATATTTCTAGATGTTTTGGATTGCTGTGGCCTAATCTTGCATTGGGCTTGAGCATCTTCAAATATCTTAAGTACCCTTTAGCTTCACTTTTTTCCCATAGGTCACGTTTTCTTAAGGATATTTTGTTTCTCTAGTGTTGCCTAATAATAAATCCATATTATTTGTAAATATTTTTTAAAATAGTAGTTTAAAGATCTTTACTCTCCAATTTTGGAAGTTATTTCTTGAACAAAATTCTTGGATGTTTGAACATTAAATCCAAATTGATATTTGATTTTATTTACAATGGAAGAGATGGTTGTTTAAGAACTTTATCTGCGCTCCGCTGAGGGACACCAGCCAAGACTACAGAAAATTTGAATTTCTTTAAACAATGAAGTCTCTGTGGTACAATTGCTATGTAATTAGCACTATGAAACACTCAACTGTATTGCTCTTAAAGGCAAAAAAAAAAAAAAAAAGTAAAACCATCTTATTCCTATGACATTTTTCCTCCTAGCTTAAAAATTCTAAAACTCCATGTTGAATGCATCTATTAGTTTATGTTATTTGCCTTTTTCATTAATTAACAGAGAAAACATTTTATGGTATAAAAATCTGAAACCATCTTAGTCTCCCTTTTCAGTTATATATTTATCTCTACCTCAGTATTTGCATGTTACCTAAAAGATTCTCTTCATTGCAGTTAAAGCATTATGATTTTGACATGCATATGATAAAATTTAAATCAAGAATGAAATTTTATGTGTTGGGCCAGCCCCGTGGCTCACTCGGGAGAGTGCGGCACTGGGAGCACTGAGGCTGCGGGTTCGGATCCTATATAGGGATGGCCAGTGTGCTCACTGGCTGAGCATGGTGTGGACCACACCATGCCGAGGGTTGTGATCCCATTACCAGTAAAAAAAAAAAAATGAAATTTTATGTGTTAATCATGTTGATATTGAAAAAACAGTAACGTTGCTAAGTTTGAGTTCCAAAAGAATGTTTTCTTTTACCACCTATTAGCATTTGGTGCCCAGCAAAATGTTTTCAAAATTCAAAGCATTGTATTCAGAGTATCTCATCTTGGTAATTAAAAAAAAAAAAAAAATACTGACAGCTGTGTTAAATTTTTAATGACAAGGTTTTTTTTTGTTTTGTTTTGTTTTGTTTTTACATAAGACAAGAAAATAAATTTCCAAATGAAAAGCTATGCTGTAGTTAGTATTTAAGTAACAGATTTTAAGGAGTGAGAGTATGGTAGTTTCTGTTTTAAAAATATTTCATAATTCAGAAATTGGCACCTTACTTGTGTAATCTGTGTGTGGAAAGCAGCTTTGCCAAAGACCTTCAGGCAATTTCCCATAAAACTGAAACTGGCATTAGATACCATAAACTTCAGTGACAAAGGTGTTTTTGAAGAGGTGGGATGTATTAGTTTGCTAGGGCTGCCTTATGAAGTACCATTATGGGGTCTTAAACAACCGAAACTTATTTCCTCATAGTCTGGAGGCTAAAAGTCCAAGACCAAGGTGTTAGCAGGGTTCGTTTCTTCTGCAGGCTCTCTCCTTGGCTTGTAGATGACCTTCCTCTTCTGTTGTCTTCTCATGATCCCCTGTGCCTGTGTCCTAATCTTTTTATAAAGACACCAGTCGTATTGGATTAGGGCCTCACTAATGACCTCATTTAATTTAATTATCTCTCTAAAGACTCTATCCCCAAATACATTCTGAGGTACCAGGGTTTAGTACTTCAACATGTGAAGTTTGGGGGACACAATTCAGCCCCTAACAAGAGAATAAAATGATTATTTTTCTCCCTGCAATAGTTTTAGGTGTCATGAAACCCTTAATTTTTTAAAAAAATGTACCTGAGTTGAAATATAATTTAACTACATTGTTAATTGTTTTTTTTTTTTTTTGACTTTGTTAGGGAAGTGAATTGAACTTTGAAAAAAAAAATTGCATAACAGTAAAATTATGATAAGTATCTATATATAATCTAAGTATCTATACGTATATATAATTGTGATAAATATATCTATATCTATGTATCTAAAT